TATGTATGATAATTAAAATTAAAAAGTTATGTTAATTTATCTAGTTATGCCATAAATATTATTGTCATGCTGTAATAATGATTATTGATTTTAATCTAAAATAAGTATTTTCATTCTAACCATTATATTACGCAGCATTGCGTTAAACATAAATCAATAGTTTAATAGCACTTCACGCCATAATATACAATACTTCCACGTTTCACACAATGCTATATAAATGATAGGGTATAAGCCAATGTTACTAACACTATAAGAACCAAAATACTGAAAACAGCTAGGAGGTTGGTTGTATATAATTTAAGCATAGGCGCAATTAGGTAGGCTTAGCCCCCCCCSCCCAAATAAAGCCATCACTTATGAATATTTTATTCGTCATAGAAATAAAATTGGCAAATTTTTTTTTGAATAAAAAAAAACCTGAAAATATTGTTTCAGTTATTATCCAGTTATTATTATTTCCAGGTTGCACATTCCATGAAAAACGTGCGAACGTTCGTTTTCTTCTATGCGTAGATTAAAAACTTGGCAGAGCGGACGACAATGACACAAGAGCGATTTCCAAATCTATCAATAATAAATATTGAAAGGGATCTAACAAATAGTTTGGAGACAACAACAATTATTGATAAATTTGGCGCAGCTAAGAGAAAATTAGTATTTTATTGAATATTGAATATTTAATATTTACTTAATTAAAATATTGTAATATCATATTATGAATTTATTTCTGTATTTATTTATTTGTCAATAGTTATCCGGTTTATAAGCTTTTGGAGGGTGCGGGGGCGAAGCCCCTGCGGGTTAGTGTGACTTATACAATTCTAAACCCCACCCCCCAGAAAAAAAAATTGACCCTATAGTTACGCCTATGAATTTAAGGAATTTAGAGAGTTAACCACCTACCTCCAGCCGATGAACAAATATTTAGAATGTTAATATTAGAGCGAATTGATCCATATCAAATGAAAAGTTATAAAAATTGTGTCATTGTCTATGGTTATCTTGCCGAAAAAGTTTTTTCAATATCAAACACAATACACCTAAATATTACAGTTCAAAAATGTTCATACCTAACTCACTCCAAAAATTAAAACAACAAAAGAACCACTGAAAAAAGTTGCGCCAAAACGAGGACAATGTTGTAAACCTTTAAATTTGATGTTAACGTCCAAGATTTATTCACTGTAATAATAAAATATTCATAAGCAAAGAAATTAAACGCGTACAGGTAAACAGAGTACCTACACATTTGTGATTTGCTGACAAAGAAAAATATACGAAAATCTGAGGTGTCCTTCTAATAAGCATTTTTAGAGATCAAGTCTGTCACTTAGTCCTAGTTAGAAAAAAATAATATAACTAAATAATATGCGATGTTGAGATCGTCGGATTCGGTTGGATTGGGTTAAAAACTTAAAACTTAAAATGTATTTCCAATACTCAATATTACACCTATTATAACGATATCATCATGATATTAACGCAGCATAAACAGCGTCATGTTGGGTCAGTATTAATACCTAAAATACATTGAATCATATTAAACAAAAATTACGTACGGCACCAMAATACTGTCTAGTGGCCAAGTTGAGCAGCTGTTTCGGTAAGTTTCATTGTCGACGAGTTGAAAAGTTCGAAACGACGAAGGTAGATGGAGAACTGTCGGCATCGTCCGCGTCCGGACGAGTTGACTGAACTCGTTTGCCGTCGACATCGTCGTTAATAAATTATTCTTTGCTGCAAAATATGAATGGATTTTAATGCAAAATACATTATTTTTGGGGAAGTCCCCGGTTATACTTTTCAAGTACAAAACCCGTTTCATACATCAGATAAGAATTGAAATCAAAGACTTCTTTTGGTCATTTTTCGAATTTCGATCATTTTACTAAAATGTTGTTAATTTAATTTAAAAACAAAACTACGTATACTCATAGTATAGATTGTAGAGTGTAGACTGTACTAAATATAGGTAATTGAAAAAAAAAATGTTCCGATCATTAAATTTTATAAATTTAATGAGAATCTAGTAGATGGCGCTGTTAATATCGAATTAATTTAAATGTATAAATAATAATCGTTAGATTAGATTGAACCTCACTAAACTTAACTAAACCTAACTTAACCTAGCTAATCAAGCCAAGAGATTTTACTTATGATCTACGATTTAAAGCACAATATAAATACAAACAATTTATATTACCTCGAATAAATTCAAATTTTAAGAAGATGTCACCAGCGCACTGTTTGGAATCGTCTCCCGTTGGTCCACGAGCAATTTAAACAAAACACATTTGCGTAGATTAATTTTCATCGTATTTTTGGTACGTCACGTCGTCCATCTTGACTATACATACGAGCTACGGTGCAACGCACACGCCGTAAGTTTTGGATTTTTATCGTAGCGCCGTCATCTATGCGATAGAGCCTACCGAGGTCTTCCCGGATGAATTGTTCTCATTCGAATTGAGCAATCGTTCAAATCTTTGRCTCGCCTTTTGTCCTCATCGCACCTTTTCCGCCAATTTCGATTTGCAATTGAGTATTTACGATTAGAATTTCGGGAAGATTATGGAATACGCCGCAGTGTTTTCCAAAGGGTGTGCCGTGGAATTTTAAAGATGTGCCGCGACAACTTGAAATTTGTTTCATTATTAAAAAACATTATAAAATGATTATATTTTTGTATTTATATTTAAATAATATTTATTCAAAGTGTGCCGCCATGACTTATGATAACTAATTAATTATAATAATATGCTGCGATGGAAAAAAGTTTGAGGACCACTCACCACTGCAGCAGGTATATAAGTATATGGTGTACTTATTAGTCAGCGCTGCAGCACTTCGACGGGATGATCTTTTTTTATTTTCGTTTGCGATCTTTAAAGTTTTGTTTTTCGAGTCTCTATCGTCAACATCGCACTGGCCGTTTGGCTTATTCAACGTTCGTTTGAGGTTTGACTAATTGAACGCTTTCAATATTAGTGCGAGATTCCGTTCCAAACCGTTGTTTTTGTAGCCTTGCAGGCCGCAGGGTACGAAACATAATAATATAAAATACCGATAAAGTTTACCGGTATTTGAGAGACCGAAAAAAAAATAACAAAMTATCGTTACCGATCGTTTGTGGTCGAGGGTAGTTTTTTCTTCTTAGGTTTTGGTTCAACAGAGGTATGTTCAACTATAGTTCAACTGCTTCCGCCGTATCTGTTCACTTTCCAAGTGCTTAATGTCTATTGTGATACGATATGGGTACTACATTATTTTTTATACAAATCAGAAAAAAAATGATTTCAACAACTATAAAAAAAGAAATATTAACTTTAAGTAGTTTAAAATTTCAAATAYTTACAGCGGTCGATGAAAGCTACCAACCACGAACCAATAAAATATAGTTTTAGTTCCAGCTTCTCACATACTACACACGATGCCACGATGGCAAAGGTTTGTTACCACGACCTAATTTTAATACAGTATAAATACTATCAAGTATTTATAACATTTGACCAWCTCTAAAATATACCTATTTTGAGCTCAATGGCTTTTGAGGTTAAGTGTCAAATTTGTCTTGACTAGTAAGTGTCAATACTGAGCACCTGTCCTGTAAACCAARCGCCAACTGGCCCATAGTGTCCAGTGAGAAGTTGCAGTTGGGAGGTTTTTAAAATTGATTATCCCATAAATCGTATATAATATGCGAGTTTGTACCTATGTTGTGTGTGTAATATGTATTAGAATTTGTTAACTAATACTTTTACATTTTTATTCGCGCTCAAACCATATTTTAATTAAAAATTACTTAATATTTATTATTTATAGTAATGACCATTAACCACTTTGTATGTTTGGAAGGGGCTAATTCATCTGTGTAACACAGACCACAGACACAGGACCCCCCCCCACAAAATTTTTGAAAATCCGCCACAGGCTGTGTTTATCCCTCCCCCCAATTTATCGAGTGGTAGTCTACGAAGCTTGGTGTAGGCACGTCCGACGACGTGAGTACCTATGTACTTATTACTTACATGTTATTTAAAAGAGTTCAACCAGAAAAATACGACAGATACAACACGTCAACACAGAACTATACAAAATCAAAACGCGTATCGCTAGTGCAGAAAAACTTGAAGTTAAAATAAAAAAAATCACTTCTTTAGCATAATATAAGTACTAGGGAGGCACTTCAAGTCGACCCGTGTCCTTTCGTCTTTCAGTTGGCTGAGCGAATAATACAATAACAATATATCACATTAAAAAAATCACTTGATCAAAACCCGCGCGAAAGTACGAAAAATTATAATTTGGTACGCAATCAAATGGAGGCATTGCTTGTCCGGATAAGATGATTTACATAACAATACATTTTTACGTATCATTATAACTATTATTCAATTTCAAATTTTAATATTCATTACTTATATTGAAAATGCAAATCGTAATTCCTTAGAAATAACTTGCAGCTATTAGGAACTACTCAAAACACTTTGTAGTTATATAGGTATTTTAATACGTGTAGTAGTCCATGCGATCTTGCACCATGGGCACAATCCAAAAGGGCAATTTTGACGCTACAACAAACCAATGCAACATATTTTGTTGCCGGAGGTACACTATACAGATATATATTTTAAATAATAAACAAATCTAAGTGTGTTGCTTTCTAGTATCTTAGTTCAATTTAGCACCTATAATAAAAGATATTTAGATATTATTATATTTTAATTCATATTATGCATTCCATACTACSATAGATTATGTAAAAGTATAAATAATAATAATAATATATATATAATCTATAATAATACCTAAATAAATAGTAATGTGTATACACTGTTTATAAGCCTGAGGTCTACAAGGATTATTAAAATAGGTACCTCCTACAGTTCTAACTAAGATTTCCTTATCTAGTTTTAATTTTTATTTTTATTAACAAGGGCGGCTCCAGAGACATGGTTGAGAGGAAGAGGATAGGACTATCATAATTTTAAGAAAACTTTTGAAATTCTAAATGGTTTTTTATTGAATTTTTTTGTTTAAAATACGAGCTTGGCGTATGCTGCAATCATGACATCATGTATTAGATGTTTATTGTACGTTTATGGTAAGTGATATATTAGATACATTTACATCATTTCATATTAATCATATATTAATTACTTAAAACTTTTTTTTTACAACACTGATTGTAATGGAATCGCATTGAGTAATTATGGAAAGTAATGGATGAATCATCAAAATATAGAGAATTACAAAAAAATATTAATACAGAACTGTACTAATGAATATAATTATAATTTTATAGTTCAAAATGAAAATATGAATTTAATAAAAATGAAAAAAAAATTACAATGAACTTTTTAACATTTTAATGCTTTCGCAACTGAACATAATAGATTTAAAAGAGTAACATATTCACTACAACCCTCTTGTAGTCTATAGGCACAAATACTAATAGATTTACAAATGAGTGCCTTCTGATTGTCTTTTAAATCTGTAGAAAAAACTATTTTATCATGCAATTGTTCTAAAATCTGAGATGCTGAATATGCCTCAAATATTAAATCTTCCACAAAACCATCCATTTTTTGATAGTCGTACATGCGACCCATTTCTATCATACGATCTAACCAGACGTCTGGCACAGTGCCAAMAACTTCTAGAACATCAACTTCTTCAATACCATCTTCTCCCTTTAATCTAGCTGTGCTTTGGAGTGATGTTATTGCTCTACGCATATCTCCACCGGAAGCATCGACCAACCGTGCCAGCACACGAGGTGCACATTTTACTCTTTCTTCATTACATATGTGCTCGAGACGAGTTAGCATTATGTCATGTGATAAAGGTTTGAATCTGAACTTGGAGCAACGGGACGTCAATGGGTCAATAATGCAACTCACATAATTGCAAATAAGACAAAATCTAGTAGTCTTTGTCTCTCGTTCAATAGTACGCCTAAGCGCTGCTTGAGCAGGTGCTGTCATTGAGTCAGCTTCATCTAACACAACAATTTTGAACGGCGGACAAGGTTTACCATCTGGTCTTCGGTCCGAAGCTGTTAGCTGAGCAAAGGTTTTAACTTTATCTCGAATAACTTGAATACCACGATCATCAGATGCATTAAGTTCAAGCATACGGTTTTTGTACATATCTCCAAACAGCTGGCGAGCAGCAGCAATTATTGTACTAGTTTTACCTGTACCAGGTGGTCCATAAAACAATAAGTGAGGCATATCAGCACCTTGTTCTAAACATTGTTTTAGTACAGCCACAATCTCTGACTGTTCAGATACTTCATCAACTGTACGAGGTCGATATTTCTCCACCCAAGGTGTGGTGCTACTAGAAATTCCTCGTGATTCATCTTTACTCTTCAGACCACTGCTAGTTGATTGTTGTTCTTGGTTGATTTTTCCAGTTTTTAGAAAAGAATCCATAACAATTATAATTCCTATAATACCAAAAAATTATATTAATAGAAATATTTAATAAGTTATCATTAAAAATGATAAAGAATATAGTATTACACTAACCCAGATAATTCAAATTACAAACATTTTACCTAACAAATGTAATTTAAAAACTTTTTCAAATATTTTAATACTAGTACCTACAGGTAGTACAAATAATTATAATTCAATTATCTCTAAATATTTAAAAACCTAAAATGTAAGGCACAATATCATCATTTAAAAATTAAAATTCACTATATCATCTTATAGCACTGTACTACAAATGATTGAATTCACCAACTGGTTTGTTATTGAAATGCCTAGGCGCATTGTTCAAATTGAATAACTCCGTCACTCTTGATTATTACTATTTCACCACCCATATAATATGATAATTATAATATAATTGTAATAATGATTTTCATTAATACTAAAAATTATAAACATTAAAATATGAAATAATTTAGACCATTATTATTAAGCTTTGATTACCACATACATTTTACTATGTACAATTCTAAAAAATATTCTTTACTGTTCTTTGGAGTTTTTTATGGTAATGATTTGATAAATCCTAAATGATCTCTACATTTTAAGTGTAGGCCTCCAAGTTAGGATTAATTAAATTATATCAATATAATACTTAATGATGTGGAACACTTAGTTCTTACAAATATAATATATGCTATCTATAGGCTTTCAGAAAAATATATGGAACTTAGTATAATATATTGGCTAACTTGATAGTTGATACCAATGTTATTAACTACGAAGATATGAATAATGACTAACAAAATGATACTATGAACTTATAGACATGATCAAAGTTTCTGTACTAATAGCAAAGTATTTTTCATTTGATTTAACAGTCTGATATAAATACTTATACCAAATTTTGAATAATTTGATTAGTTAACGATCACTATTAACCATCAGTATATGCGATATATATTGATTTTATGGGTATTGGAACAATACAATTTTCATGAGGACAGGTGATTCAATAACAAACCATTATCAATGATTGCAAATATTTTAACTTAATATACCTAAATCATAATTATTTTTTATGCAAAACATCTATAATGGGAAATAATTTGAAGAAAAATATTTATGTAAATTTTTTTGCATATACCCATCTGGTTAATTTATAGTTTAATACTTAATAACAACTGTTAAAATTAATTTTCAAAATAAATCCAAATTTTACTAACTTTTATGCTATTTAAATATGTTGCAGAATTCCTGATAAATATGTAGTTTGATCATGAGTTGCGGATAATGATGGAGAAAAATACTTGAGTTGGATGCACTTTGCTAAAACTGATGAAAAAATTAATAAACCATAAACTCCAATCAATGCAAAATTGCTGTAAATGGACACCGCTCAGAGTGAATAATAAATGTATTAATGTGCATTAGGTATATACATATATTTTATTGGATGAATTCAATCCATAAACCCAAAACCATAATAACACAATGGTGTTAATCCATAGGTGTGCTCAGACACGCCCTATAATTACTTTATGGGCCTAAGTGCCCTATGCCTCAATCACACAATTCGTAGTTTGTAATAAATATACCTAAATATTACCATATTCAATTTTAGAGAATATTTTTAAAGGGAATTAAAAAATTAAAAATTGAATGATTCTCTATATGTGCACTTTGCAAATTGATATTGTTTAAATATAGCAGAGCTTTTACTTGTTATAACAGAACCAAATTTAGATGTTTTGTATTTATAAAATTATTGACTAAAGAGATGATGATAATATATGGGCACTACCTGCTTTCAGAGTCTGTGCATAACTATGTTAATAACCATTTTACGGTGTCCAGTACCATTATGTTAGAAATGTTTGATGTTAATTAATAAGAAACTACCGATTAGGTATTCAAAATTTATTATTACTTACAAATTTAAGTGATTATAAACTCCACACAAGTAACAAAGTAAGTCTGTCCGTCGTTAATTATTTCTGAATTTAGCAACATTAAACAATGAAATTATTGTTATCCATTCAAATATGTAGCACAGAGCCGCTGAACGAGAAAATGCCGAAATTCTTCAGATTTCAGAATGTAGTGAAATGAATGATACAAATTTGAGGCCCAACTGGCCAAAGTATTCAGTGATAGTGTTTTGTACATTTACCGCCAAAATGTTCCATAATAATGTAAACATGTATTTGTTCGTGTTGTCAAACTTTAGGTTATGTTTATATTCATTTATACCACGGTCTTGATTATAATTATTTCAAAATTGATAAGTTTGTATTGAAAATCTATATTATCAGCTACGTAAACCCAATTTTTTAAATTTTTAGACTGTAATTCTTCATCATGGTAATTTATTAGTCCCTGTAAATAATTGTACATAAAATATACACCGTTAAAAGTAAGTAGTTAATATTTTTAAGTATTATTTCTCCTAAGTATATTATAATATTTTTGCAGTTTGTATAGTGACTCAAATAGTGATAAGGGTGATTTACACTCAACAATTTTTCAAATTTCCTAAAAAATAAAGAATAATATGTCACGTTTTCATGTTAAATTTCAAAACTCGCGAGGAAAAAGTTATGCACACATTGATAAAGTGCAAAACATTTTATTTTAGTACCTAGCTTTGAAATCTTATATCAGTTGTTTTCAATCTGTCTATTAATTAATTATTAAATTGTTAAGATTTGTTTTGTTATTTTTGTGTGTAACCTACAATTATATAATATATTAATTTTTTTGTTTATTTGAAAATATACAATCTATACCTGTTGGCATAATAAGTTTATGTGTTCTGAGTACGGTTTTAAATTACAGTAATACATTAACATGTATAGAGAAATCATCCATTAATGACACTCATAAATATAATATTAAAACAAAAATTATTTAACTAAACTAAAGTTAGAAAATATTTTTATTATTTAATATTTATAATAGAGATATTATTAGGATTAAAATACAGAGTTAATTATTAATTATAATGTTTATTTATTTTTATAGGTAACAAAATTATTTTATAAGGAACATGGCTGAGGAAGAATCAAATTCCAAACCTTCATATCCTTTGAAAGTATTTTATTRTGGCAACTGTTCACTTCCACCAGAATACTGTGACTTTTCTTCAGACACAGACCGTTGTCGGGAATGGCTTGAAAAGTATTTACCTGATGAGTTTAATAGAATTATGACATGTAGTGGGACTGCTGGAGGTGATGACTCTGATGAGAAAAAACGTCAAAAACGTGGTGGGAAAGGTATGGTAAAATCAAAGAAGAAAGATGATGGGCCCAAACAAGTAAGCAGTTTTCAAAATAATATTTACTTCAACTCAAAAATTTATTGTATGTATTAAAATTGTTTAGGTATGCTTATCCAGAGCACCAAGAGGCAAGAAGAAATCTGTTACTGTTGTAACTGGCTTGAGTACATTTAACATTGATTTAAAAGTTGCTGCTAAATTTTTTGGTACTAAATTTGCCTGTGGATCGAGTGTGACAGGAGAGGATGAAATTGTCATWCAAGGTGATGTAAAAGATGACCTATTTGATATTATACCAGAAAAATGGCCTGACATTGATGAAGATTACATTGAAGACCTTGGAGATCTTAAACGGTGATCGCAATAAAATTTATTTATTTTCAATGTGAAATAAATATTCAGTTATTGAAGTTTTGTTTGACTTTAGTCAATATTTAATCTTCGCTGTTGTCACCTGGAATATTCAAATGTACGAAACCAATATATTGCTATGGAATATTTATTATTTCCATTCATCTAATTGTTATTTCATTTTTTTTATGTAAACAATTCCTTCATCCACTTCTTTAAAAAAGGAAAAGCTGATATTTTACACTTACCAAACATAACTTTATTTTTTTTATTTAACATAAATATATAATTAATTATTTAAATATTTCAGTGAACATTGAAAGATTGTAACTAGGAATATAGGGTTATCATATTCTAAACTCTAAAAAATAGTATGTTAAATTCATTATACCCATAGACCAGCATTTCTCAACCTGTGGTTCGTAGAAAGCTCATAAGTGGTACACAAAGAAAATCTTGATTCATGAAAAACTGTAATGGATCAATATTACTTACCTTATTTGATATCAAAAATGATGGTGAATATTTAATTTTCCATTAATTGTAAATTAAACGCTTAAACAATCATAATTGTGTAGTTCCTAGAGTAATAATATTCCATACACAAAAAAAAAAAAAGTTATTTGGTTAAATAGTATACGAACATTTTCAAGTTGTGTAGGTGGTATGCATACACTTAAAAAGGTTGAGAACCGCTGCCATATTGACAACACATGATATATATATATTGGTAAATTTTTTGACTTATAGAGTAGAACACAAGTTTCCAAAAACAAGAAAATGTTGATAATCTACAAAATTTGGTTAGGTTAACCTTAGGGTTATGTAGGGACTGATACATGAAAATTAAGAGCTGTTCAATGTGCCACCCTACATTCGTATACCATTTCTATATAAATATTATTGAATAAGAGGATTCCAGTGAATTTTATGTAAGACCATGATTGTAAAATTATATTAAACCAACATAATATAATCACAATCTCATATTTTTGGTTAATTACTTCTGTCATTGGTATAACATTGTCTRCATCGATAGTGTTGGATAACCAATATTGAAAGCTATCTTAGGAAAATTTCCAATATCGTAGATACAACAAAAATACCAGTCAAATTTCTTATAATAAAACTAGAACAAAATGAACACTGTCTTAATAACATATGTTATTTGATTGAACATACAGTATATTTAATAAACGATAAAATGATTACAGCAGTATTTTATTTTGTATGGATTAATACTTTTGCAAATAGTCAACGCATTATGGTATAGAAGATGTTTTAACGACATTAAGTAACATTAATAAAATAAAAAATACACTGGTAGAAAAAATATACAGGTAGATAGTACTGATTAGGAAGGCAACCACACATAGCTTATACATACATTGTACATTTTAAAATATTATACATAATATAAATAATTACTCATTAAACTTTGACAGTTACATAATATTTGATTTTGACATTCCTAGTTTTGCTGTACAATATGCTATAAAACAATATAACAGCTATTAATAAATAATTAGATATTATATTATATTACTAAAAAATGGTATTTTTTAATGAACTGTAGATTTGTGTTTGTAAAAAACAGTATATTTTATAATTTATTTTGCTTATATATATTAATAAAAATACTTAATTCAATAATTTAAGAAAAATTTTTATGTTAATTGCTCCTTGGTGCTGAATATATGTAAACGGCCAGATCCGTTTCCTCCGACATAAATAGCCTGAGTGGGATGTACTTCTATGACTGGACAATATGTAGTCATATCTGTAGATTGCAGAATATGTAATACATGCCCGGCAGAATTATAAACTTGTATCTGAAAAATAATAAATTATAGCATATGTTCAAATAAAAGAATACATTTAATTTAGAATTTTTCAGACCATGATTAATTTATTATTAATATCAGTAACTATTAAAAGCAATAATTGCTTTAATTACAAATCAAACACCTTTATGTTTTGGATAAAGACAGGCAAATGTATTTCATTTAATTTCTATGCTAATGGGGGTTAACACTTAACAATTTGACATAATATTTAACTGATATATGCCCTGTATTTTTTGCTATACATCCCCTTTTGAATCAACAATATTTATCATAATAAACAGTATTTATGATACAAATCAATAACACCAAACATTCATGAATTAGAGAACAGCCAACAATGATAATTTTGAAAACTTTTAAACTAGATAATTATTTTTGTTTGAAATATACATTATTACTTTGATAAACGTTTAAAGGTCATAATTTGTAAATTTTATCTTACACAAATTGTGAAATTGGTGAAAACCCACTAAAATTTTTAGTTGTTTTTTTATATAAATGCTTTTTTTATTATTCATATTGCTTTCAAATCTGAATTCTAGTTATTAGGATATAATTATTGAATATATAATACCAATACATTAACATATACTTCAATAGACTTACTATCACTCTTTAAATTATTAAGTGAAATATAATATATACAATATAAGAATCTCTACTACTAACCCTTTTTGGTGATAGCATTGATCCAACGAAGAATTCATTATCTCTTCCTGGATTCCATTTAGCTTTAAATACTGAAAGCCATCGTCCTGTATGATTATTATGTGGAATTATGTTTATAGGCTCTGAAAAATAATATTTAAATTTACATTTTGTACAAATTTGATAAATCTTATGATATTTCATCAATCTTATCCGACTAATTCTAATGCACCACAAATTAATTGACATCACTAGAATGCAGTACGCAATCTAATGTATTTTTTGTACATAAATCTACAAACCAAAATGTTAAATTGTAGTGCCTAGTAAAATGGCATAGGGATGCATGGTCATTTGATCAAAAAGATTGTTGATTATTATCGATGAATCATTATTAATTTCTTATTAACAATTTTTAACTATTATAACACAATAAAAAAATTATATTTATGTCTAGTATTTCAGCTGATAAAATCCATTCAGATAGAACCAGCCTCGGACTGGCACACCAAAAGCACATAGATCAGTTTTAAGGGGATCCACGAATGGCTTTGAACTCTAAAGAAAATTTGTGCCAAAAAATTACTGATGGTTAAATATTTTGATTAATAAGTTGTATAATGTTAATGTACTCCATATTAATTTTTTTTTTTTTTTTTGATAAAGATGGAAAAACCTAAGATAAATTTTAGATTTAATAAGAAAAATGTGTATCAATTTCTAACTAAAAATAATTTCCAAAATTTTGTGAGTTTTACATATTTGGTCAAAATTTGAAATTCAGACGCTCATAAAAAAATATTATGAATTTAAAGATTTTATTCGTAACTGAGGAAATTATTGTGTGATACAAATGAAAAAAAAACACAATACACATCATTGAATATTTTTTAGAATACCATCAATACTTTATAACTTACTTGTACAACTTGAATTTAATCTATCAGTATTAAATATTCTTAAATTGTCATCATTACATGTAGACACCATCTTAGAACCAGAGGCAGAAAAAAATGCACTTGTCAATGATTTAGGATGTTCAAATTGTAAAACTGGATTAATTGATTGGTCAGTCATATTTCTTATGTCCCACAAGGAAACCTCTCTAAAATCATACACATTATTATATTTTATTAGCGAATTAAATAAATATCATAAAGATATATTACTTATACCATAACGCTGAATATTATTAATAGTACATTTCAATTTAAACGAAATAACTTTAATAAATATATTATTATAATAGCAATAAATAATTACCCAATTCCAGATGAAGTTAAAAAGTAATGTTTTTCCAATGGGTGGCATTGAACTGTACGCACAGATCTTTCATGACACCAGGCAGTGTTGATAATTTTATCTGGTGTTCGTGTATCAATCATATCTACATGACCAGAACCTTAAACATTTAAATAATTATAAAAATTTGATATAAATCATGCATAACATATAAAAGGTGTCAGGCAATACCATACATACCATTTCCTATGAGAAGATTTCTTTCAAATTCAGTGTGCCAGGTAGCATGGTTCATTTTTGATTTACTTTGACCCTTCCATTCTGTCTTATAGATCTATTTAGTTAAATAGTTTAACTTTAATTGATATAGTTACAAGCAAATAAAAGCAATAATAAAATTATACTGACAATATCAAAAGTTCGTTTAACAATGTCACCACATCTGACTGATCCATCATGACTAGTTGAAAACAACTTGTATGGATCCCAAGTGCAAAATGAAATACAATTAACAGGTGCATCATGAAGTCTATACTCGCGCATTTCTGAATTTTTATTGCTGTACAAAGCTACAAAATTGAATTATTACTTAGGATTTAATATATTAGACAGTAAAATTATTGTTGTATTATTAATTCCACAATTAAAATATGTAATTATATTTTTTTGACTCACTTAAGTTTCCTCTCAAATCCCCTGCAGCAACTGTCAAAGATGTTTCCGAAGGATGAATAGCAAGTGAGTAGATACGTTTTTCAGACACTTTTACTGATGGTGTGTACATATCAAGACTTCTTAACACATGTATAAATCTAAATAAAAACAAAATTGTTTTGTATAATTATATTTAAAGTGAAAAACTGAATTACTTATATATATATGACATGAGACTTGGAAGAATAAAATGTATGTAGTAAAAGTACAAGGAGAATCGCATAGCTGTTTTTGACGATATCGCCATAAGTAATATTACTTATACTGAATTTTTTATTTCAATAAATTTATCAATTCATAAGCAGACACTTTTATTTGAATAGTACATAGTGAAAGCAAGTTGACAAACAAAAATAGTATGATAAATTTTCCAATTTAAACATTAAGGTAAAATATGAATTATAATTGACCTTAAACTTATTACATACTTATGACTTGGTAACTTATGAAAATCATTAACAGCTTCCTTAATGGCTAGGTCATCATTCAGTTTTTCAACAAAATCAGAGTCTTCTTCTGGTATTGATATGGAATCTTTAATTAATATAAAATATTCTTAAATTATAATTACATTTTACAACAATTTACTAAATTAAACATAATTAGTAATAAGTAAAATATGTTTTCTTTAAATGCACATACTCTGGCGATTGCGGTGGAACAGATAAAAATTTATTTTTTAAATGTAGTTTACTAACAGAATACATAAATTGGATGTCACTGAATCAAATATTTATCTGACTGGTATTTTTTTAAACTTGATAAAAAGTATAATAACATAGTGGAAAATGGGCAAGATTTTTTTCAATTATTGATTTGTGAATAGAGTTAATTTTAATTTGAAATCTTTGATATAAGAATATGCATCTGAAATTAACGGATCTGCGCAGTTAGAAAAACCAGTTGATCACACATTCGATAACGTAATTATTATAATTGAAAAAATTGATTGTATATCATCTGACCATTGCATAACTTCCAAGTACAATGTAAGTCAGATAAGTGTGATCGATGAGTATTTATATTATTAGTTAGTGTTAGTATATATGTATGACTATTATAAGTTGTCATGAATAACGTTAAAATAAAAATAAATTAAAAACAATGAAAACTAATATATTATTTTCAAAACATTAATTAGGTTTGTGGGTATAGGTTGGGCATCCCTGATGTAATTGGTTGTTCTACGTATCCTTGCATGCCACCTAGCCTAACCAATCATTCCACCGAGACAGCCAAGGCAAATGTAACTGGGTAAAATAGGTCAAAATTGGCCGCATATCCAGGTTAATTGGATGATAAGAAAACATTTGGAATTTAGACAATTAAAGTGTTAAGCAAAAAAAAAAAAAATAAGTAGTTGAAGTATATTAAGGCACTTACCTTGATTTTTAAAATCAGTACCATAAGAATCATTATTCTTAGAGGTTTTAGGATTGTTAGATTCTAATTTAGATTCCTCAGGAAGCTGATAATCTTGAGGTGCTGCCAAATGAGCTATTCTCAATGAACGTCTCTCGGGTTTTCTGAAAAATATATAAATAATGAAGTTGAATAAAAATGATTTAAGTAATTTGATAAAAACAATCAATACTTACAAGCTTGTATTTTTAGGTTTAGTTGTTTTAACTGGTGTGTGTTTTTGTATGGAAGTTACCAATGTCTTTGCAGCTTGATTTACACCAAGTATACTGAAATATTATTACACACCATTTAATTCATCAAAAAATTACACACAAACAATGATTCAAATTATGGATGAATAATAAGAATTCATGTTATATGATTATAATGAGTAATACACAAAGCATTCTCCAAATTTTCTTTTTATAATAAATATATTGCAAAGGAATTCTGATTTTTTAATTTTTCAAGTACCTATTATAGGCTATAGGTATAGGTACTTATACACAAGGACCCTATTTTCAAATGTCTAATTTTTTAATATTATGGTTTATTAAATTATAAAATGTGTCAGCATATTACATTAATATAGTCTCAATATCCAATTACAAGAATAAAGGTATTTGTATGTAAGATTAGATTATTTATTTATTAATGGTTAACATGTTAAATTTGATCTTTGTCTGCACAAGTATCTGATAGTAGTAAATCTTAGGTAGTCATGGATAACTGATTATTATGTCATTAAAGGTCTTGGGTAATAACAAATTATTTTTTTAATAAGAGTTTTTTCTTTCAGTAAATTGATAAACAGATAACTTTTTGAGTTATTTAAATTTATGTAGAAGAATATATTTGGATTTTAAAAAGAAGGTCATGATGAAAATTATAATAATCAATAGGAATTTAATAACTTTTTTAGGTTTATGAAACAATTTTTGAATATATAAAGTACCTACTTACTGAATTATTAAATATATTTTATATTTCTATAAAACTATTTTAAGAAATGTTATCCTTGGAACATACATTTAATTTTTTTGATGACTTATAAAATGCGAGTTGTTTACTTGGACTGTTTGATAGTCAATCACCCAAAACTAAAAAAAAGTTTAATTTGAATTTGAAAATTTTTTAACCTAGGCATTCGATCAAGTTATCTTTATCAATTATAAGTATGTTCTTAACTTGTTAAATTTGTAAAAAAAAATCAAAATTTGTAAGCGCTGCGAGTGGAAGTATTGTTGCACGCATGCTGTTTTAACATAAAATCTTAAACATTGAAAGGCTATAACTTCTAAAACAATAGTTTCTGTAAAAAATTCAAACAGTTTTAAATCAGCCTTGAAAATTATGTCTTTGAAAAAAATTTAAAATTTGTGAGGGGCGTGGTTAAGTGCATTTGTCCCCAATTATTTACAGAGAAAATAACTCACTCCAACATTTCTTCATTTTTTTTCATTCTTTTTTCTCTTTGTTGTTCATATGTCAAATTTTCATCTTCATCATCAGACATACTTTCAATGTCATCCATTTTTGAAGGAGACAAGTCTTGGATTTTATTCATCTTAAAGAATTAAATGCCAACTAGAAAATACAAAATAGACTTATAATATTGGTACTATACATAAAAAAAAGTTACACAGTATTCAACTTTATCAAGGATCAAAACAATACAAAAAAATGTTACTGTGTACTGTGCAGGTATATGATGATAAATGAGAAAATAACATAAAATATAATTATTCTTGTAATATACATGTTT